GATCTTCGAGTTTGTGCGACAAGACATTAGACATGAATCATCAGCGTCAAAATCCGAATCTTCTTCTGGGGTCATTTCATCGTTCCAGCCAGCGTATGCCTCTCTTCTCGCTCCTCACAGTTGTCTGTTGCATGATTCAGTCCAGTCCAGTCGACCACAGTCAGGAAGATCATCGGTGGTAGCAGGCAACTTTGTCTTACTCCTGTCTTTTCTCCAAAGACATCATTGATCTTTCCATTGTGAATCACTTGGCATGTAGCATCATACAGCATATAGATGTTGAATGAGATTGATAAAGGTTTGTGGCACCGAAACCGTAGTGTTGAAGCAGTTGCTTGCCAAATTACTTCTTGGTCGGCGCTGTCGAAGGCCTTTTCAAAGTCGATGAAGTTGAGGTAGAGATCCAGTTGACTGCCATTCTACACTCTGTTTTATGATGATGCGTAGGGTAGCGTTGCAATTTGATCCGCACATGATTTGCTCTTCCTGAATCCAACCAGCCTGTTCCGGTCATAATTTTGAATCGAGAGTATTTTTTAGTCTCTCCAGTATGATGCGGCTTAATATTTTGCTTAGGGTGGACAGGAGCATCATTCCGCTCCAGTTTCTGGAAACACTTAGGTCTCTCTTATTTTGGAGTTTGACAAGGTAATCCTTCTTCCAATCAATCGTTAGGTTTCCTTCCTTCCTTCCTTCCTTGCAAACCTTCTGCAACAGTGGTGTAAGCGTTTTCGCTGTTGTCTGTGCGTCTGTTTTCAGTGCTTCTGGTGGAATTCCATCTGGTCCAGCTGCTTTTCCGGCTTTCAGGACTTCACTTCCACCTTTGTGGGAGGGTTTGTTTTCGCTTATATTTCTGTGGCTGGGCTGCTGGTGGTATTTCTAGACGAGTTGCAGGTGGTGGTGGTGATGGTCGATTGAAGAGATTTTGAATTGGTCAACTCTTCGTTTCCTTTGTTTCTCTTCTTTGGTAATTAGGTTTCCTTCATCATCTTTTATTGTTTTCATCTGTATTGATCTCTTCCTGGATAGAAACCTGGTTATTTGATACAATGTTGTCAGGTCTCTCTCTCTCTCCTACCTGCAGCCTGTTCTGCCTCACTTGCAAGTGTGTCGTAGAAGTGTTTTTTGTCTTGGCGTGCACTCTTTTCCACTTCTTTGTCCGGTGTAGTGTTTTGTAGGTTGTATTCAGTTCCTCTTTTCGTTGTTCATCCTTTCACTGTACTGGTTCATCTTCTGCTTCACCATCTTCCTCTCCCTGCTCTGTCAGCTTCCATTTGTTTGTTGAGATCCGTTCCTTCTCCTGTTTTTTCTTCCTTGCTAACACGGTTATGCAGGTTTCCTTCTACGTCTCTTTCATAGAGTTCCAGTGTTCTTCCACTCAGGTTTCCTCGGTGAGTTTTGCTCTATATCTCCCATTTTGTCTTGATGGCTGACATGTAGATGTCCTTTGTAGTTTCGTGCTTCAGTTTCTGTTCTGTGTGTTGAACTTGAACTGTGGTGTATTACCAGCATTTTTGAGAGCTTTCAACATGATTTGAAAGGTTCCCTGCACTAGATAGTGGTCTGAACCTACATCTACTCCCCTTCTTTATCTTGTGTCCAGTAGGCTGCGTCTCCACTTTCCTCAGATTGGGATTAGGTCGATCTGATTTTTAGTGTGTCCTGGTGTCTGGTGAAATCCATGTCACTTTGTGAATATCCTTGTGTTTGTATATACTGCGTCCAATCACCAAACCATTAAAGGTGCAGAAGTTTGCAAACAGTTCTCCATTCTCGTTCATTTCACCGAGTACTTCTCGACCCATGATTGGTTGTCTTCCTGTGTTGAATGCTCCCAGTTTGGCATTCATATCACCCATTAGAATTTTGATGTTGCCATCTGGGATGGGGTCTTGTCTATTACTGGTTGAAGTTGTCTTTAGAATTCCTCCTTCTTCTCTTGATCTGCATTATTTGTAGGTGCTTAGTGTAGCGTAGCATTGTATGATTGTGACTTTCGTTCCTTTTGAGTTGAATCTTGGTGTCATGATCCTGATCCTGATCGTGGAGGAGATTGGTCCTTACTGTATGAGAGAGAGTATTTGATGCAGTTGGGGACATCATAATAGCCACTTGGAAACTCAGTGTGCTCGTGGTTATCATCTGGGTGACAATACCGGAGATTATTGAGTTTCCAGTTGACAGTTTGGAGAGTTCACTTCCATTCCATCTGCAGATTCCTCACATTTCTATGGTATACCCTCTCATCTCTTTTGTAATCTGGGCAGCCTTACTAGCTTCAAACATTTTGCAAACATTCCATGTCCGAATGTTCACTTTTGCTTCCATCGAGAGAAGAGAAGATACATCAACCCATTGGCTTCCCGAAGTCTTTCACTAGCTGGTGTCATTTCGTCACTCCGATTCCAGCATGGAATAAGTTTATTTTTATTTTTAATGTTTTTTTCTGTGCTTTGAAGATTCTTTTACGGTTGTATTGGTTTTATGAGGTAGGGTTGCTATCCCTATGCCCAATCTTCCCTCTTTATCCGGGCTTTGAACCGGCTAGTAACTATTGAACTAGTTAACCAGGCGAGGTTATCGAGCCACATTTGTTCTTTTATCTCGGACTAAACGTAGAGTAATAAGAGTGGATTAATTGATACTTGTCATTTCCAGTTCATTTATATACCAGGCTGAATAGGTCAGTCACTGTTTATATGCATGGGTTCCTTGTAACGATGTTTCAGGATTGCCTGAAGCTTCATTTTGATATTACATGCTTAGTGGTGGCCATCAGTAAAATCCACGATGCGTATTTTGTCCTTTAATTGTCCAGGGGGAATCGTCAGCACAAATATATAACAAATGATGCCCGTTGCAAAAGAGATGTTTTTCTTGACTCGGTAGCCTACTGGAAAACGCTCTAGCGTTTGAAGCTATTTTATCTGGGTTCTAGATTCAGTGGAATCACCATTTCTCACTGGGATGAAAGTTTATCCAGGCGATGAATGCCCAGACCAAACACGTGTCCTGATTTCCACTGCTGGCTATTGCGAACTTAAAAAAACTATATAAGATTTACATGAAAAGTAAAATTTTTTGTAAGAATCACAAAGTTAGGCTCATCTAAATACTGGTACACTCTCTCATTGTAGTTCATTACAGAAACTTCTGAAAACGAAAACTGGTGTGATACGGAGGAGTGTAGCTTTTATTGATCTTTAATGTTTTTGACTCGGAGGCGTTGACTCATAGAGTTAAAATCTAGTCACCTTATCGCTAATTGAACCCATCATTCTTCATTTAATAAGTCTAAAATTCTAGTCATCAGAAAAGTTAAGATTTTAGGTGGTCAAGTGGATCCCTCGGTCCAACGAATCTATGATATTTTCACAACAATGTTATTAAAGTCGTGATGGATAGTGACTAGCAGTGGGATCCAGGATGTACGTTTCGTCGTATCTTGGACTTGTCAGTTGGGTGTACCTGCCTCAGTGAGTGATGTTATTCCTTCTAAAACTTGAACCAGAGAACGGTTGATTCAAACCCCAAAGCGTTATCAACTAGGCCACCGAGTCATGATAGTCACTTCTTATGAAGCGGGCATAGTTTTTGCCCTTTTATTCTCAGAAGCTTATTTGCCAGTAGAGATCAATTCGGTCCAGTCTATGATGGGATAATACAAGCAGCAAAATAAGTAGTATACCCACAGCACAAGAGTTGGCTATAGTGACTCAGTGTCCTAATAAAAAAAAGGCTCTGACATTGAAGCGATTGGTCTTGAGTTCAAGTCTCAGGGGTAACAACATCACTTACTGGAAAGTGTACGTCCGTCTGATGAGTCCCAACTAAGACGAAACGCGTGTCTTGTATTTCATTGCCAGCCACTATCCATCGTTACTGTAGAGTCGAGACGACGGGCAATATCGAGGTATCCTCACAGGATCCTATATATCAATAGCGACCAATCAATTTGGTCCAATCAACGGTGGGAGAATACAAGAAACAGCATTGGTGTTACTAAAATGCTTCTTAGTTCACTGTGATTGCTCAGTTAAACAGAATTATAATTACTGCTGAATATTTCGTGACTTTCTAATCAGTTTCATATTCATAATAATTAAAGACAGTTGTTTTTTTCTTATCCTCTACCTGTTTGCCTTTATTTTGCTTCAATCATTTAAAAGACTGTTCATCACACCCTATCTATTATTGATTTGAAAAACGTTACTCTGTTTTTGGTTTACTTTTCTATTCTTAAGTAAGTAGCAGAAAATCCTAGACATCACTTATATTGACAGTATGAAGCGTAATATTCCCTTGCCGTAAAAGCAGTGGATATGTCTATGATCATGGCTCATCCAACACTAGGGTTGACGTGTAATATTTAAAATACTTTGGACATAACTAGCAAATTGCATCATTCAACTTTTTCAACAAACGCTTGGTGTTATTTGAACCATTTTCATATTCTAATCCACCCTCAAAGAATGATTTACGGTTTGTATATACGGACAATAAATTTCTCCATCTGAGACAATGTGAGAAATGAACTTAAATCTCAAAAAGTAAAATTCCTGAAGTATCTCAAAGGCTTTTTCATCAATCGAACAAATACTATTGTTATTTTCTATTATAAACGTATCGTTAAGTAACTTGACTTTCTAGCCCTGTTGCGTGTTATCAGTGTACAGTTCTAATGAACACCGATCATTAAAGAAAGACAATACTCAAGTGCGTAAACACAATTCGATCACTTTTCTGCTTCAGCTATTAGTGGAGATGTAGCTTATTGACTTGAGAATTTGACTTCGAACCGTGCTCCGCCTACTTTGCTCTGGACAAACGGACAGAATCGCAAGTTCTTCTAGTGCACGAACATGTACCTGGCGAATGAGTTAAATTCCCTACATTTTTTAAATATTAGGCAGTTTACTGAACGTGTATAGAGATATGAAAGCCAACTGTAGAAGTAAATGATAAATGTTTATACTGTACGTTGTTTCCTTTCTATTTAGATCCGACATCTCTTCGATTCGAATACTAAAAATTGGTCAAAATGCGAAGTTTTATCCCATGAAAATTATTTGCTTAGACAAGAAAATGATCTTTTGAAGAAGGAAATAGCCAGTTTGTGGTGTATTCGTGAGAATGTAAACGATCCTTTTATTGATAGAATTCCCCGCACAACCGACTATGAATCGCAAGGTAACTGAAATAATTGTCCATGAATTGCATGATTTTATCTAGCAAAGTGATTCATGCTAAAGATTTATCATTTGCATTCTTTGCTCATTATATCTTTTATTTATCTATCACGGAATCAATGTAGCACATAAGTTTTCGAAATTTCTTCACCGTCTATTATACATATCGAAAAACAGGAGGATAAATCGAATGTTATGTAAAACTGACGGAAACAGTGTATCAGACTAAATGCTTATCCTCTTCGTTGTCACCTACCGGAGCATTAAGCAATGGTTAGGCGGCTCTGTGTGCCTTCCTTCACATCAGTACATGAGGATGTCTACGGGAATTGATTTGACTGAAATAATTTGGAATACCTAAGTGAAGGAAATGTTCTAAGGCTTCGCACTGTAATCGACTAAGACAATAGGCGTACTGTCCTTATATTCTAACTAATGAAAAGCAACCACTTGGTTGCATACCATCTCCCAAAAAAGGGCACCCGAAGTAAACAGAAGGACCACAACGGTACAGTTACATATATAGTTAATCATATTGCTACTGTGTCACTTATGAAGAGATTCTCGTAGCTCACTTCTTTTGCTAGTTTTTGCTGATGTTGGACACAGAGATTAAGAGTGAGACCTTCATGCTTTAAAAACTTTGCTTATTTGCTCAACAAAAACAACATCAAATGTTTGATTGGTTTTGCATGATACACATATCTCAATTGATAATGATAGTCAGTTGGTCACTTCCAAAGCACCTGTCGTACGTTGTTGAATAGTCTTTTAATTTTAAACAACTGACTGCACTTTGTACAATGAAAAGAATCATGTAATCATGCTATCTAAAAAGAAGTCAAACAGTCAAGGAGTCACCGTCTTATTGTTCATTCTAGTGGCAGTTATCATGAGGAATATGCCGAAATCATTTTTTTGTGAGGGTTTATTTAGTATATCAGGAAGACTGACTTAAAAAGTTCCAACCATAATAATTCAAACTGGGAGGAAAACAGAACTACCGGATTTCTTAGAAACTAATCTACGCATTTAAAATTTTAAGGCCTGTAATCGACTATATAAGAACTGGTATTATATGTATTTCAAACCCAAACTATCAAGATTGGTTTGTTTGAGAGATGGGATAACTAATATTATTAGTGAGAGTCAGAATTTTACATACTTCACACATGTATATGATTAACAGTTGAGTGAATGAAAATTGAGCTTCCGTTTCCGCATTCATAAGAGGAAAGGGAAACTAAGTTTTCTGTACAATCTTCCTGTGAAGATCTAATGCTACGAATTTGTAACTGGTTTTCCTTTTTTTTTGCTAAGTGACGTGTTCCTAGGACGTCTAGTCAATTTCTAGTACCTTGGATTTGGGTTACAAAGTGATTCAGCATGTAATGTAAAGTACCACATCAGTGTTTCGGCCTCTAGAGAATAACTAATATTATGTTGTTTGGTTCTAAGTGTTGGTCGGATAGCTCAGTGGTAACACCGCTGACTGACTTCAGCACTCATCGACACTAGTTCAAACCTCTGGAGGTTGCAGATACGCCTCACTGACGAGTGTTCAGGGTTTCCTGCAGATTGCTTTCAATCATACAACGAAATTATGCGACATACGGTACGCATACAGAAGTCACAAATTCGCTGTAGAATTTCCAGTAACCTTTTCTGTAGATATTCATGAAAAGTTTTTATTCAAAATAATTCATTCAAAAATGATCGCTAGTTCATTCCTTTACAGGGTTTATTTCACTTTTTCGATACTCACTGAATTGCTATGGTTACACAAATAGTATCAGTTGTTGGTTGAAACTAACCTTGAAGTCAAAATCTAGTAGTTATTTATATTACAGTTGAATAATTTAATAAGTAGCATTTCTGTTAGTCAGTGACTGATTTATTTTATTGGTGGTAGACTGAAAGGTGTATTCGGCTATCACAGTGAAATGGATTACATTCATGTAATCGTAAAAGTATGTTTTAAACGAGTAATTACGTATCGTGAAGGCTGTATATTTATTTCTCATGCATGGTGACAAGTTTAGTAGGATCAATCATCAGCCAGTTTGACAAGTCAACCAGTACACTAAATGTCAGGCGCACAATGAATTTGTGTATAAGTGTATGTACACACTGGTTCGTCCACAATTATAGGTATTTAAATAAGCATGTTTTACCGATTCGTCTGGTAAAAGATTTTCACTTTTTTTCATTCTGGAAAAAATAACTACTGTCCTTCTATGCGATCATTTGCAGCTTGTTTTACAAAATACATTTTATTTTCCATTTTAATTTGTCACATAAAAAGATTTGTGCACGAAGTTTTGATCGATCCAAATTATAGCTCTTTAGATTGTTTCTTTTACTATCCAATATACACATGATCTATAGTGCATGTCTGTCCGTACCCAAACGGCCTTCACACCCTTCTTTTTCGTTTAACTCTCCCCAATCGCACATATATAAATGTGTGTTTATGTACTTTCTGCTATGAATTATGTTCTTCAGTAGATGTTATGGAAATTCAGTACAAAAAGAAATGTACAACATGTACAATTGATTATTTATAGTTGGTTTTCATCACATGACGTTATGAATCCAACAGCTATAAGAAGTCATCAAGTGCTAAGTAACTGCTGAATGAATGCAGTCAAAGAGTGCTATAATCGTATGAGCATATAATATATTCAAAAGTGGAATTCAGCACACTCGTCCTAAATGTCTTCTGGAATGACAACAACAGCATGGGTTTTCATATCACCAAACGAAAAGGCCAAGTATATATTACGAATTATTCAGGGCTGAGAATGCTGTTTTCTCAGACGGTCAAAACTTTGGAGAAAAAGACTGAATGAAATCTGATGAAATTTGTTCTTTCTATATCAGGTTGTAATAAAACCTATTTTGACGTAATCAACTTTGAATCTGTTAGGTGAAGGAAATTTCCCTTTTCTGGAGGTTTCAATCTATATATAGTGACATCGTCAAGGCACGAAACCTAGTTCCAGGGCTTCCCACCTGTTTACTTCAGCTGACTATATTAAGCCAATAAGTAAGATGACGTAGCTGTAAAAAGGGAAACTAAATCAATCATAAGAACGACCACGAATATCTTGTTGTGATATGCTTAATTTGTAGGTGAAGTACAGTTTCGTGGAAAGGTAAACCTCAGCAACAGTTGAATAAGCTTTGTTGTCTGGAGTGATAGCCAAAACCATGTAAAGTCTATGATATTTTGAATACAGTACACATGTGTGAGGCGAACGTAGAGCCAACTTCACTAAGTAATAGACAATAAGAACTGATACTAAGGTAATGGTAAGTATATGAGTGTACAACTACCACTACTTTTCAGATAATAATTCACCAAGGCAAAGATGATGTACTTAAAACTGATGACAAGAAGTCTTTGAGATTACAGCACAAACCATATTTATGGTTCTGATACACTCAAGTTAAGTTTAACCCATCATTTATTTTTAAGTCTGAGCTGGAAAAAAGAGGCAGCTCGGAAATATTTGACGTTGAATGTGAGAGCAATTATTATAAGGAAATCTAAGAATAAAACTTAAGAACTATGGTGGAATGTAACTCCACTTTAGTTGATTTATTCCAAGTAATCTAATGAAAACTCACCAGTGCTAGTAAAAAAACACATCGGAATGAGAAGAAACTGAATTATGAAGAAAGCATCAGCCTGAAACTTAGAAAACTATACTACATATATGTCAAAAGCCATAAGATACTGAAAGAAACAATAATTCACAACCTCGAACTAACCATGCACATTAATACTTCAAAAATAAGTACGAATGATAATACACAATCTCAATAAACTTGAAAATCCCCATGAAAACATAAAACTGATACACGTAGTTAAATAAGCAGCCACCATGGCAAACTAACGTGCTTTTAAATAACCTTCAAACAGCTATAGACAGACCAATCAGAGTAGAAAACAGTTAAAATCGGTGGACAGTTAAAGTGGCTAACATTTTAAAATATAAAAAGTCAAATAAGTTTAAACTGGACAGTAGCGGAATCATAAAAGATCTCATTTACACACTGGTTCCTTTTTCATATGGCAAAGTTTAACTTGAAGAGAAAACATCTGAGATTCAGACTTTAATTTAAAACTATGGTTATTTAGTTGTAGTTGAGTGGCATGTCTGGAAATATGGATAGTTTGTTAATGTGATTTGCGAATGAATTTAAGAAGACGATTAGATTTTCTTTGAACCTTTACCTATTGAATTATCACTTGATTATGCTTCAATTGATATAGTCTGTAGTCGAAAAGTAGACAATTAATCTATAGATGGGATGATAGGTAATTAAGTCAAGTACTTTCATTAACAGAATCACATTTGCGCAGTCAATTTAGGGTAGCTTGCTGTTTGATACTGAATGACTGGATACGAACTACAAGAAGCCTGAGATGTACGTGTCATGTCTGTTATCACCTGTGGCTATATTGATCGTCTTGCGGGAACTAGTACTTATTTAGTAATTATGGTCGTAATCATAGCGTTTCAATCAAATATGTCATTTCTGAGATGTTTGAACTGTGACTCACCTGTTTAGTCACCGACTGGTGTTCAAGTTGTAGACATGGTTGATGGAAGTTATTAACGACTTTGGATCAAACAGTATGATATTACTCAGTCTTCAGGAGTCAATTCATACAATTTCTTTCAGAAATATAATAAAGAATTAAATTACTAGTCCCAATAATTTTAATTATACACTCAACTTTAGCGATAATTATTAATTTGGACATTTTCTAAGTATCTTAACGGAGCCGCAGGTTTTTCACCGAAAACCTTGATTTTAAATAACAGATTTAAGGTTTTGAAGCCTACTGATTGTTTTTAAAGCTAGGTAGTATCACTAGCTGTTATACTGTGGTGAAAGCTACTTATAAGAACCCATATAAGCAGTATATGTAGCAACGTAAAAAGTAATAATAATCAACAACTGGTTAGGAATCACGTAAAAAGAATATACAATAGTGGAGGGAAATATAAAGTCCAAGAAGCGTGTGTCATGATATATAGAACAAGAAGTTATTTGCAAAATACTCTTTCACCTGCCTGCCTTTATAACTTCCTATCATATACTGACACCTTAAGGTTACTCACTGTAATCAATAACTAGCAACATGAATTATTGGAGAACTGGGGTTTTTCGGGTGGTTCGCAGATGACGTTTATTAATAGTCGACTATTGCCAAACGTCTGGAATAACTATATTTGTTATCCTATCTTCATGAGTACTTATGTTTGTTGTTTTTCCTGTAATATTATTGTTGTTTATTTTAACACTCGGTTAGCTCTTTTTTTCTTGGGTTACGAAATATACTAAACCAACTTGAAGCGATACTATTTTGAAGGTTACTACTTCAGCCTGCTCGCCTGCTTGAAATATAGGTCATGTGGAATAATACACCTCTATAGGTTATGCATACTATTCAACAAGTTTAAGCTCTGATTTTTATGATTTTGAAGTTCTCCCACTACAACACATAGTACAAGCTGATGGGATTCTGAGAGTGAACAGTATTGCAGAACAAGAGGAAATAACTAAAGAATATTTTCAAATTCGTGTTTTTCAATTTGAAATGAGGTTCAATTTATTCAGTTGACAGATCTTCACAAGGCACACAGCCATTGGTTGTTGGAAAGTAGTCTATAGAGTTAAACGCTGCCTTACTCATTACGAAGCGTAAAGATCCTCGGTTAAGTCACAAGAGACATCGTGGGTGCATAAATATATACCATCGTTCATTTATCTCTACTACATAATGCTAACGTTTATTTAGGTTATTCTAATGTACCAAAATTGATTTTATTATCAAAACTCTATAAAATGGTGAACACGTAAATAGTATGTGTTGAATAGCGGTTCGATGAAATAACAGTTATATTCTCTTTGAAATTATATTGTTTTTGATATATATTTTAATGAACTATAAATAGTTTTGTTGTACTGTTTTTATTTGCCTATTTTTCGATTTACAGTACAACCATTAAAGGAAGATACTGAAGGTGAAACTTGTAAACAAAATGTAAGTGAATATCGATAGAAAGTGAAAATTTTGGCAGCTATGGTGTTATTTTGCTTACATTTGATCTAAAAATAGGACAAAGGATGGTTTAATATCGTGCTACAGTTCTTAGAGGGGTTGACTCAGTTTTGCAGAGGTACATAAAAGGAGAGTATTTGAAGTGCGAACAGATCATTTAACCCGTTTCCCATTTGAGTTGGTGGATGATGCAATTTTAAATCTCTTATGTTTAATGTAATTTGTTATGACACTACAGATACACTTTTTGGATGAGTGGCATGAGCAGGAAATCTGAAACTGGGAGCGCTAAGGTCTAACATATTAAAGCCAAGAAAACTGTTAAAAGTTATACGAATTTTTCATGCCACGTCTAAATTGACTATTTTTACTATAGTTAACATTCTAAGATATAAACCTCAGACCATCAATCATTTTTAGCAATGATTATATCCTCAGATCTTTTATTCAAACACTTCTGTTCCTGATTTCTACATGCAAACTATTATTTACTTCATAAATTCATAAAAAATCTTTTCAACGAGGAAAATGCTACCAAATAAAGGCCTTTACTGAAAAATGAGGTTTTCATTTTAAATTCTTTTACAGCATATCCAAGGAGGTACATTGTAGGACGGATTCTTCTATTTATTATTATTGTCCCTCACTTTTCACTTTCGATAATGCCATAAGTAGCATCTAGATAGTATGCTTTTGTCCTTTGTTAGACTCCTCGTCCTAAGGTACTTGCATCTCAATGCTGCCTTTGAAGTTTGGACAGGGTATTCATTTCTTTGAACATAATCTCCTAGGCTGGAAACCACGTCTTGTATCATGACAATTTAGGCTTCATTTGACGTGTGATTACCACTCATTTATTTTACTGGATCAAACTGATTGTACTCCGTCATTGTGTTTGTTGGCTCCTAGTAAACATGCGTTGTTATTGCAGTAAGTTTGACCCTGATTCTGTGTTTGACATTGTGTTGAAATTCACTCAAAGACTCAAGTTTCATCCTATTTGTAACCTATCTGTTGGGAAACAGTTGTATACCAATTCGATTGTAAGTTAACAATGACTGACTAGCATTTCATCTTGATTATTGTGAAACTTCTCATCAGTACTCGCCTATCGTTTTCAATAATTGTGTTGCTGTTTTATTTGTTGTTATTTAATCAATTTAACTTTATACATTGTACAAGTCACTGGAGAACCATAGCATTCAGTTGCTATTAAAAGTTAAATAGTTGCCCACAAATGTTCAGACACTTCTTTCTGAACTTTTAGGAACGTCAAATCACTACCAGACAGATTATTCTGCATAGATTCCGGATAAACAGTACAAGACTATTTCGAATTCGCCAAAATTACTTATTCTGTTAACATGGATCATGTGTTTGCCTCTTTTTAAGTTTGTTACAGTGAAATGAAACATACTGAGTATTGCTCTGTTTTTTTTCTAAAAAAAGCGTCATTATTAGTTTTACAAACGATATTATCATTATTATTATTATTATTATTATTATTATTATTATTATTATTATTAGTAGTAGTAGTAGTAGTAGTAGTAGTAGTAGTAGTAGTGGTAAGGAGATTTTCAAATTTCATCCTAGATGGAAAGCAATGAAACTTCAGTAGAAGATTTACTGTATCAACTTTCTGAAAGAAATTGTCAAATAGATCTATTACAGCGTCGATTATCATTTATGTTACATGAACGTGTGTACTCTATCATCAATTGGAGGAGATGAGTATAGCACAGGATAAATTTGAAAACAAAGTGAGTCCTTAATGAGATAATATATACTAATTTCTCTTTTGAAAATCATCTGACAATTCTACAGAAGACTGTTAAAAATCTTCTCCGGTAATGTTATCATTCTAAAAATTCTTAGTTACTAATCATTCTGAGTATTTGCTAGTCTTTGAATTTACTGATATATATATATATATATATATATATATATATATATATATATATATATATATATATAATCCACTTCCTGCACATAGGTTTACAAATTAGCTTACAATAAATTCGCCAGACTGGTAAAGTTTCTTTAGGTTTTTTTAATTTACACAGTTCACACCTTGAAGTGCAGGTGGTGGTGGTGGCGGTGGTTGATTCAAGAGCTTCTTGAAGTGGTCGGCCCATCGTTTCCTTTGTTTCTCTTCTTTCGTAATTAAATTTTCATTCATCATCTTTTATTGGTTTCATCTGTGTTGATCTCTTCCCTGATAGCAACCTGGTTATTTGATACAATGTCGTCAGGTCTCTCTTACCTGCAGCCTGTTCTGCATCACTTGCCAGTGTTTCGTAGAAGTGTGTTTTGTCTTCCCATGCACTCTTCTTCACTTCCTTGTCTAGTGTTTTATACATTGTGCTCAGTTCCTCTTGTCGTGAGCATCCTTGCACTGGTTTGTCTTCTGCTTCACCATCCTCCTCTCCTGCTATGTCAGGTTCCATGTATCCATTGAGATCCATTCCTCATCTTCTTTCTTCTTCCTTTTTAATACGGCTGTGCAGGTTTCTTTCCACATCTCTTTCAAAGACTTCCAGTGTTCTTCCACACAGGTTTCTTCAGGGATGTTCCTCGATATCTCCCATTTTGTCTTGATGGCTGCCGTGAAGATTTTCTCTGCAGTTTCATCCTTCAGTTTCTGTTCTGGGTGTTGAACTTGAACTGTGGTATATTACCAGCTTTCTTGAAGGCTTTCAACTTGATTTGGAGGGTAGGTTCCTTGCACTAGATAGTGGTCTGAACCTACATCTGCTCCTCTTCTTGACCTTGTGTTAAGTAGACTGCGTCTCCATTTTCTTGAGATTGAGATAAAGTCGATTTGATTTTTAGTGTGTCCTTGTATCTGGTGAAATCCATGTCGCTTTGTGGATATCCTTGTGCTTGAATACAGTGCCTGACTGCAATCACCAAATCGTTGAATGCTCAGAATTCTGCAAACAATTCTCCATTCTCGTTCATCACCTCACCTAGCGCTTCTCGACCCATGGTTTATTCTCTTCCTGTGTTGTCCCCTCCCAGTTTGGCTGGCATTCATGTCACCCCGCCCATTAGAATTTTGATATCGCCAACTGAGGTCTTGTCCAGTGTTGATTGAAGTTGTCTGTAGAATTCCTCCTTTTTCTCCTGCTCTGCATTATTTGTAGGTGCATAGTGTGGCATTGTATGATTGTGACCTTCCTTTTGAGTTGAACCTTGCTGTCATGATCCTGATCGTTGAGAAGATTGGTTCCCACTGCATGAGAGCCTTCGATGCTGTTGGGGACATCATGATAGCCACTCCCTCAGTGTGCTCGTGGTTGTCGTCTGGGTGACAATATCGGAGTAGATTATTGATTCTCCAGTTGACAGTTTGAAGAGTCCACTCCCATTCCATCTGCTTTCACAAGTTCCAAGCACTTCAATGTGATACCTTCTCATCTCTTTTGCAGTCTGGGCTGCCTTGCTGAGTTCAAACATGGTGCGGACATTTCATGTCCCCACGTTTACTTCCGCTTTCATCGACGGAGAGAAGACACATTGGCCAATTGGCTTCCCGAAGGCTTTCACCAGCTGGTGTCATTTCGTCTCTCCGATTCCAGCGAGGAATAATTTTGTTTTTATTTTTTATATTTAGTTTGCGCTTTGAAGTTTCTTTAGCGGTTAGATTTGTTTTCCGGGGTAGGGTTGCTAGCCCTATGCCCAACCTTCCCTCTTTATGGGGGCTTAGGACCCGCTAGTAGCTAGTGAACTAGTTAACCAGGCGAGGTTATTCCTGCTTGATAGATGATCACAATTACCAAAAAGGATTATGAATACCATCTCTTACTAGATCAGTTTCGAAGGTTTGATGCAAGTCTTTTTTGAAATTGACTGTAAGGGAATGAACACATTTAACATTGAAAGTTGACATTTTGACATAGTGATGCTACTAGTATTATCGCTAGGCATGTAAGAAAATAATTGATTGCACGTGAATCCAATTTCAGAGAATGCATCATGTTACCCGTAAACAATTAACTATCTATTGCACTGCACACACATAGATGTTAGTGAGTGGTGTTTGAGTTGTTCCGTGACAAAAACCTTTTGTTTACCAAACGTTCCTGCAACATTCCGGATATACTTCGTTGATTTACACTTGACTAAATGCTTTGGTGAACAACAGACCAGAGTGGTCATCATTAGAAAACAGATAGATATACTTGGATGACTCCAGCAACTAGGAATGTCTTATCAAAACAATAAAAATATACTTTCAGCGAACAAAGTATGAACTATAGTACTAACTATCACATGGCACAGCAAAAGCCATTTTGAGCATCATTCAAGTCGATATCCCATTTGCACTGAATTAGCATGATGGGAAGTATGTTTACAAAACTTTGAGCGACTTCAAAAGCCATCCTAGTAACTACTTTATTTCTGTTTGGCAAATAGATTTTCATAAAATAGTGAGGTCTTATTGGATATTTCAGTTGTTGCTAGATAGTCCTTTAGAGTCACCTCAATTCTTTTAGGATTTCTGTATTCGTAATCTTATGTAAACGTACTTTTCACTATTCTTATGAGCGCAAAAACTGATGCACATGAAAATGGTGTTCCTTTTGTGAATCAGAAAGAAATCTCAAACACCATTGTTTAAATCTTGTCGAGTAAGTATTTTCCTCAAAAATGTCATAGCATTTCATATGCAACGCAGAGGTAGAGTTCTTAGTTGCCATAATAATATTGTGGTTTCATAAATTCACAAAAGACTGTTAACGAACGTTTACTGCATTCTTTTAAAAATTAACAGGGTTCACTATTTGAATAGTACTAAAAGCCATCCTATGAACCATTAAAGTAACTTTTTAAGTTGGTGTTAAATATCTCGATGGGAACAAATTTTGCAGCATACATTGTTTTTCGTTGCATTCTTTTCACCTGTCTGCTGGCTATCACTGGTCGATTCAGGAATCGAAGAGTGGAATTAGGTACTTGTACATGAAGAGTTTGTATACGAAGTTCAGAGGACAGTTTTAGAACCACAGTGGTAATCAGTAACAAAAGTTAACACGAAAACCAACGTAGCATAAAATAATCCAACGATATTTTAGAATAGCAATCATTCAGTCGGATTCATTATCAAAACAAAAAATGAAGAAGGGGAATAAAAGATGAGAACTTTGCAGTCCCTCCCCGCCTCGCCACCCCAAGATGGTTGTAAGTTAACTAACGTTTCTCTGAATTCAAAGATTAGGCTTTAACCTTTCAATCAAAATAGCTTCACCCAACCCTAGCAACTTAACATTGAACTGTTTATTGATGGATTTGAAGGCATTTTTAATATCAACATCATATCATGTGTCGCACAAGTGACCAGTGATTGAACTTTTGACATCATTCAATCTTGTAAGGTTCAAGTTTTTGGAAATGTGTTCAAGAAACGAGAAGCTATAACGAACTATATTTACAGTCAAAATAAATCAGGCCGACTGGCTACCTCAGTAGTTTCAAGGAGCGCCTTTAAAGTTACACTTACTTCAAGTATTTGCTCGATATCTCGTTAGTCAGAAATGGAAAACGTAATTGACTATATTTTTCCAATCACGCAAAGCCAAAATGCTTTTACTTCACTGTTGAAGCCAATATATGAAATATGTCTGTTTAAGGGCTACCAAGCACATTACATATGAATTTATTACAGCTTATTTCACTTTTTTGGATCCATAAACACACTGTCAAAAAAAGGCAGATAGAAGGAAAGACGAAATCAACGTAGAACCTCACACACAAGCGTATCGGCTCAAGTTGCCATACTTCACATTAGTACAAAAAGAACCGGTGGATAGAAAAGGAGTAAAATAAAAGTAGATAAAGTAGTGTAACGGAATATGGAATTTGAAGACAAAGGTGAATGCGAATATTCAAGCTTTAGAAGATGCTAAGGAGTGAATAGATCTGCGTCATTGTCACCGATTCTCAGTCATGTCACCAAGAATCCTCAACCACTGATTCCTTTCATCTCAGGAATCCCAACCAGGAGGTCTACATCTCTCCACATGGCTCAGACCAACAGTCAGTGATTTAATCGACTAATGCTAGGTCTTTTTCTGGCCACCCCGAACCCTCCTCCAACCTAATACAACTTCACCTAACATGGCATATCGAGGTAGGTAGTGGCTTGGGGTGTGAAGTATATGTCCAAGCTATCTTTCCTCATAAAGACTTACAACCTTGTTAATCGACTTACCCCTCTTGCTTGGTACCCTTCGCCTAACCTCAACATTGCTCATATGGTGATTCCATGAGACCCAAGCAATACTACGAAGACATCTGTGACCAAAATCCAGTAATCACTTCATGTCTTCTACTTTTAATGGCCATGCCTCACAGTTATGTTTCAGGACAGAATAGATCGCAGTGAATTATACTCGTCCTTTCATCGATAGCTGGATATCTCTGCATTTGGGGTCACACATGACGCTAGTTAGCAAACGCCAAACGGGCCTTCTGTATCCGAGCTGTGATTTTTTCAGCGACCATCCTTTTCGGGCGGAAGCAACTCTGCAAATGAGTAAACTGGTCGACATTTGGGCTACTTCACTCTCTATCATTAAACTAGGAGTACTTGCAGGGGACCAGTCCTCCCATTTGACGGGTGTAAGGTTTATGCTAAACACACTCAGATATCTGCTCAACGTGTTCAGAAGATCCTGTATTTAGTCAGCGTCTTCACGTAGCATGACAATATTATTTGCATACTCCAAGTCAACTAGATGACGTTCAGGGTGTAGATCCATCCTTGTGAAGTTAAAGGTACCTAAGATTATGTCCAGTAGTACGTGTTTGTCGAAGTTAAATAAGAACAACGGCAATGGGCATCTCTGGCGCACACCACCCTTTGTCGTCAGTTCTGGCTACAACTTTTCGTAGGTCCTTACACGGTTGTGTGGGTTTGAGCAGAGAACTTCGATTACTGTTACTTGCTCGGCACTCCATGCACAAGTAGACACTTCCATAATATCTCACGATCGACTGAATCGAATACCGTCTTGAGGTCGAGAAATATGGCCCCCAATAAGCACGTCTGTGTTCCAACACCTATTGGAGTGTGGAGATTTGATCTATGCACCTTAATCCAGGTCTGAACCCTGCCTGTTTTTCACGAGATACTAAACTTATGTTTGGGTAGTCACTGATTTCAAGAAGATATTCATTATGTTCACTATTAAATTCCGTTCATGGAGACGTGAAGTTTATGGAAGTAGATTTTAGATAGGGGGCGTGTCTCCATCTTATGTATCGAAAGTTCTTTCAAGAAGATAAAAGACAACTTTGGAGTTATGTAGTTAGTAATGCCTCCAATTCTTATTCTCAACAGACAGCTGCTACTTTGAGGCGGTAGCCACCATTGCAGATCACAGTAACTCAGAGAGCTGCGCTGATGGGGACAACTGTTTATGGGGGCCCTGACATGCCAGAAATGTGTTTTGGATAGTAGTAGGACAAAAAGCAGGTAATGCTGTAGTGTAAATAGCTTAGAACATATGAAGGTTCGCCAGAAAATTTGTATTGCTGGCTGTTCGGCAAATGAAAACAATGAAGTGTTTCTCACAGATGATCATTCAATTCTCTTATTGCCCTTTCTATCGACAGGAAGAGTTTAAATAAGTTGTCTGATGTACTGAATGTGCGAAATTCACACATCGAATTTCTCGAGATTCCTTGACTGATTCCCACAGTCTTGAATTCATAGATCTAGAGTTAAAAGCTAGAACACAAAATACATTCCTCAACTGAATTTCTTTACACAGTTGTCTGTGAGCTGCTCGACTAAGTAATGAGTTATGAACAAACAAAACAATGAAGTCCGCTGTGGTCTTTTGTAATCTTTTCTTACCAGCTCGCTGACTGGAGTTCAGATGAAGTGAAAGATTAGTTCTAACGAAAACTGTTTCACCTTCCACTGGGTCCAAGCGATCAGAATTATCCGTCATCGTAGGTGATTTTAGTGCACAAGTGGGTAGGTAGTCTACGCCAGACAGAAAGGTGCACAGATATAATTTTCTGAATCCCAGTCAAACAAATGTATGTTTATGACCACCTGCTCCAAGTGTACTTACACAAACGTCTATTTTTGTTCAGTATAAATTGTAGACGCAAACAGAAATCGTCCGATGTGCTATATGCATCAAGAAAACTGGAGCAAAAACGTGAATGATTAGTGGGATCTTGGCGGAGGCAAATGAAGCACAACTCATTGGCAGCGGAGATGGTTGAAACGATGGACAGAACACTTTTGAAGACAGTTCAACCTTTTTTAAGCTACCTTTATGTCGTGCGCATCCTGAATGAATCGTTAAGATAGGGCCTTTAACTTTTAAAGAAACTGACAAGACCATAAACAACCTGAAACAGTGTAGAGCAGCAGACCCTAGTAGCGTTTTATCAGAGGCATTTAAGTACGTTGAATATGAAAAATTGATTAAATAAGCTAGTGTTGATTGGTCTCAATCGCTGATTGTTACAGTCTTCAAGAAAAGCGATAATCCTCAAGTGATAATCCAGGAGAATCAGTCTGACGAACATAAAGTGTACAATCTGGGTTAACCATTTATCAGATGACTAGCTGCATTTCGAAAACAACAAATTCGAGAATATGTTAGGGTTTCGAACCTGGTCGTGGATGCACCAACTAGATATCCATCCTCCACCAGGTCTTGAAAAACAAGCACAAGTACCGGTTCCTGACAGTAGGTGTATTGGTTGACGGGGTTCAAATCCTTTAACAGGGAAATCCTTTAGCTCACCGAAATGGGTGCAAGATAAGTGTATTACTCTGTTGAAGGCTGTATATTCGAAAACCAATCAACGTGCTAGAGTTTGTTGTGAAGTCTTTGTTTACATCAAATGTTTCTTTTAGGAATGTCCACTCCATTTCGCTTTCTTACAGGTATCCCACTCTTCATATGTGATTAGAATTGATATGCAGATGACATGTGCATTTCAGGTGAAGACGCTGATATGATGTGAAGTTATCTGGACACCATAGGTGAAAATTTGAGAATCTTTGAGGTGCGCCTATCAACGTCACACTGTAAAATGTTGCTTCGGGACTGGATGTCATTTATACCTCTATTAACAGTTAGATTTGAAGTTCCTAGGCACACTGATCACTTCCCCCACTAAGGAAGTCAGATTAGCCCTGTGAGGTCAGTGATGAAAGAAGTTTGAGCAAGGACATAGAAGGCTTGATTGGTCTTTGTCACCTAAAGTCATCTATGGTGTTAGCGTAATATCCAGTAACCTATTAAGGACCATGCATACTATGCTACAGTTCGCTTTCTTCTACTTCATATTCATGAAATATGGTCATTGAAGGTATAGAATACGAGAGGGTTTCAGGCATTCAACCATCGTTACCTTTGTAGCATTGGCCGTGCATTGTGCTGCCACCATGTTATCAAAGTAGAACTCAGACGTAGAGTTTAAGGGAAAAGAGGAAATCCAGTTGATGAAGTTGTAAACCTTCATTAGTTCAGGTGGATGGAACACTTATTACCTATACTTAGTCATCATCTATCCCGTTACACAATTTTAGCTGGAACAAGATTAAGCTGGAAAAAGGTTAAAATTGGTTAAGCAGAAGCGTACCATCAATCCATGAAGTTTCCTACTATAACTGTGAGCTTTGTAAGCAAATATACACATCCTGTTGGGAATTCAAATGGTAATCACAATGAGTCGTTGGAGACTTATGTTGCTATGGATCAGAATCGACCTTATTTGTGAAAATGCGTCCACGAATCATCTTCATTCTCGTCGTTTGTTCTACCCTTCCCTTCTTTATGTCTTTTAATGACATCTGGTCACTTTTTTTCCCTACCTTTTTATCTTTCATATTGTTTTGTTGATATAAGGTGTGGCAGCTTAAACTGCCATACGGTAATACCAGTTCTGATGTTGATATAGACTTATAATTTCTATTAGATGCATGCATATAGGTAAAGGCAATACATTCTATAGTGGTACTAATTTGTCGTTCGTATACAATCGTCAAAAAAAATTCTGGTGTTATTCATAGTCTGTCGTTAATAAGAAACTTTTACTCATTTTTCCATTGTTGTGTTGTATAGTGTTGATATATGCATGACTCGTCGCAGTTGAAGCAGATTCCATATAATTTTCGTCAACTTGTCAAAAGTCTTCACTTTTCAAACATCTTTTTTTAACGTTATTTTCACCCTACAAGAGATAACCAGATTTTTTTAAAATATGCTTGTCTTTGTTTTCTATATTCTTCGTCGTTTATGTATTAAAATGTTGGGTTTCGGTTTCAGACTCACCTTACTGCCAAAAATAAACGTTCACGATTGCTTATGAATACTGGAACACTGAAAGATGATTGTTCAAAATATTCTTACAGGTAAACCAGTATTCATATATTGTATATTTTGTCCTATGTTTAAATAAATGGGTGATGTAGACGTCTCAAGATGCCAGGTCACGAAAAGTGCTTACTGAGTTACAGGTATTCATGTCACTGAGCAAATATGCAAATCTGTTATCCCTCGTGTATTTGAAAGTGGTCATCAATGCAGTTTAGTGTCAAGTGACAGTACTGAAATATGAACTGAACAGCTAAAGCCTGTATGCATGCTTTCATCGATCTTAGGACTCATCTCAACTGACCAACAGTACGCAACACAACTCATAATCAAACGCAAAGACAGATACAAATCAAAGAGTATTTAATCTTTATTTTCTACTTTTTTGGAATCATCAATCGGGAAACACGCATAACTTCTCAAAAGACTAAGCCACTGATATCCAAGCCTCTTCATCATTGTTAAGTTTCTAATCTCTGACAAGCGAACTCAAACAATAGCATCATATTTGGTACACATATAACTAGTGGATATACCACATAGGATCTTGTATTGACTGAATTTGATAACATTAGTCACTGGAATCGGAGACAGTGAATCGTGCACTAAGTTATTTTTTTTGAGTAGATTTAATCTGACTTTTGTTTACTGAAGCCCAGTACCTGCGATGTCAATCATTTTTTAAAAACCCAATCCACTTCTTGATTTCTAGTGGTTTTCCTAATCGTCTTCGGTTGTCATTGAAATGGACAACCAACTAGTTTAGTTCTGACGAAAGAGTAGATTATCTTTATTTGGACTGAATTGACTTCAGTTCGCTTTGCACCATAAAACTTTGAAATTCAAACATCAGAGGAGTCATATCCATTATTGGGAATGAACTTTTGTATTCATCAGTATTGTAATGCATTCCGGAATCTGATAAGTTCCTAAATCCTACCGAAAAGGTTTTTTGCAAACAACACTATTTAACATCACAATAGTCCCTCTCATTTTGGGGTTAACAAATAAAATTGCTGTCTGTAACTCAAGTCAGTTTGCCAATAAGAACTGTATTGTGGTAGCTATCATCATTAAACATAATCTAACCACATAGTCTAGTAGAATATGATTATCGTGTGAACGACTCGAGATTATACCATTTCGCCAAATGTGTCCAACTGTCTATTACATATGTTGAAGTCAAAGAATAATGATCACACAGTGTATACATTGATGTAAAATGATAACATACGAACAGCCAAAGTAATGTACCATCAACAAATGACAGCATTGTAATATATTATGCAACCTAGGAAGTTATTGACTGTAAATACATTTTACATACAATATAAATGCTGCCTTTTCCATAATTAGATATTGAGATATAACTTAAAACAATAATCTATCAGATCAGCTGATAAAAAGTTAAGAATTTGACTATTCTGACCCAACTTATGCTCCTGAATCACATTTCATTTAGTTAATTTGATAAGTTGTTTTAATTAACTTCATATTTCTGCTAGTTTTTATTTATTGATAAGAAATTTCTTCACTAGGAATAAAGTGTTACTCTATCACATTCTTAGCTGTTTAAGTCAACCAACACTTTGAAGGTATATGGGTCTTGCAGCTCTTGAGTGCAATCAGTTTTAAAGCTTATTTGACAATGCTACTTGAAACATCTTTGGTGATATGAATAAATTTGTCTCTAAAGCAGTAACTTGGGGATTATAATGGATATGGGATTACGTATTTACACATTTTTCGTCGAGTACATTCCTCAGTCATCATTTTATTGCCTGTACTTCAACTGTCGACTAGTTATCAATACAGGAGATGAGCATAATTTAGTTCTTAAACATTACTGCAAGTGTATTAAGACTGGGTTCAATTACTCTGAAACTTGAACAAAATACTTAAAACCAATGAATTCAAAAGTTACAAGCCGATGAAATTCGTAGTCAGTCCTTCCGTATTCATTATATTTTGATTAACTTTATGTCAAAGTAGACAGATTGATTCAGTGAAAAGTACTTCGGAAAATGTCTTTTTTTATTTTCTTCTGATGATTCACAATCTTGATTAACTTTTGTAAATACCCACAAAAAAGCACCTAACTTATATGTGAAGAAAGTTATTTGACATGCAACTGACATCAGTTCAACGATCATCGCAAATAAGTCTCATCAGCATCAGTTATCGTTGGAATGAAATAGTGGCAGAATTCCATTATTTGTAGACCATTCGAATCACCACGTGTTTCTGCTTTGAAGTGGTCACAAGAAGCATATACCTGGAGAGTGTTGTTTGCATATGGAATTATTAGGAGTGTAATTAGGGTAAAACTGACTAAGTAACTTGCGGTATATGATTCCTTAAGTAATTTGGCATCATATTTAATTTATGGAAACAGTTGTAGAGGCAGTCGAAGTATATCGATAGTGTTATATGCTGATTAGTGTAGTATGACGCACTCCACCAACGTTGGAAGTAGGTAAAAATCGAAGTCATTGAAACACCTGTAAACTACGTCAATGATTGTTGGTAGATGATTAGTGTAAAAAAGGTGAAGGAATCATTACTAGCATATGGAAGTCGGCACCTGATAAACTCAGTGAGGTGAATGACAATGATAAGTGGAATCGTTACCGAAAAAACCTAACAACTAATAAACTCTCATGGTAACCAACTAAATTGGTAGAAAATCGCTCATCAAATAAGCTTAACCATGTTCTGTAACTTATTGTTTAGCGAGTGACTGAACGTATCGATACCTTACTGACTAAAGTATAAAAGGCCTTTGTAAAATCCAAAAGAACTAAGTAGCAAGCTGGGACAATAAGACTCCATAATATTTTTAGGGTACCTGTCTAAAATAAATTGTTAAGCTGATTAATGTATTTCTGCATTATGAAAGTTATGGAGCATCTAGTTAGATTGCTCTGTAAATCTGATCTTCAGTTTATTAAGAGAACAGGAACTCTTGTTTCCAAAACTACAAAAGATTTAAGGTAATTTACTCGGTTGTGGCTAGCAGAGGATTCCAGGACGCGCGCTTCGTCCTATTTGGGACTCGTCAGCTGGATGTACCTCCACCCCATTAAGTGTGTTGTTCTCACTGAGACTCGGACCTCATGCCCATCGCTCCAAACGCCAAGGGGTTACCCACTAGGCCACCAACGGATCCTTAACGGGACAAAACGCGCATCCTTGATTCCTCTACTAGCCACAACCAAGTAGATTACCGTAATAAATATTCAGGCAATATCGAGGTATCTGCAGGGTAGCCCGTATGCCAATAGAGGTCGAAAAATTCGATCAAGTATAACAACAGATTTACAAGTATGTCAACAAGTAGTTAAACAGAAGAATTAAGTTCACTAACATATTTTTTAAAATTCTGGGCTCTAGTTTTTCAAAATTTTGTTGGTAATTCTATTACTAAAATCATTAAGATTAAGGATGTTTCCTATTTGGTAGAATTTCTACCAACCTAGTTTCATTCATCATAGTCTTATGAATCACACAAACACTTTGCAGTACTCCTAGCTGGTTGTTGATCTGAGGGCACTTTTCGGTTTCATGACAATATACCTCCCCCGAAGACAGTATCCAACAAATACAGTACACAACTAAATGTTATTTGCCTTAGCTCATTCACTTATGTCAAGATTCTTGAATAGCCATTGAGTGTGCTGACAACAGTTAATACGGTGTCAATGAAAAATACCCTTTGTTATCATTCCCATCGACTTCTATGACAGAACTAGATGGATTTATGTCCATTTACTCCCACCTATTCAGGGATTGGTTTCTTACTACAAGTTCTTCAAACTCAGGCTGTATGATTTTTTAGCAGAAGAAAGCGATGAAAAGTAGGATCTTTTGAAGACTGGTGATATTTTGGATTTGCTTTGCTCTCATCAACTATGAGATAATATGATATGAAAGACCTTAATGTGGCTTGTAGACAATCTTAAGATTTCCCTAACGTGAAGACTAACTTAGAGTACGAGCGATGGATAACTTCCACGCTTTCCAAACTGGAGACGAACTAAAATAACAAGAGTAACCACTACCTAAAGCTAAGAGTTTTGTTGGTCAACCAAAGACATTGAATGAGGCAAACAGCACCTCGTTCATATGTGGATGAACTTTTTGCAGCAATACAAATGGGTAGTGTTCTCGAAACGTAAAAATAGCTTATATGGAAAGAGTAGGGTTGAGATTGATTGTATCTGTTAATGCAAAGAGTTAGGGAAGCTAAGATTTGAAAATCCAATTTCAAAAACTCAGAAACTAGTAATTACAGCTAAAAGCAAGAAAAAAACCATTACTGAAGTATTAGAGTGACTTTTTTCACTTAGGTTGTTAGTCTCGACAACTGAAGAAATTGTGGACATTAGTTTTGCTTGAAATATTACGAATTCTTTAATGACTGATTCCAACACACACTACCTTATCCACACTGTCAAAATATTTTCACCATTTTAGCTGAGATAGACGTATTTTGGCAGACTTGTATTTATACTGGGTGGTGATTGAAGGTGAAATGAGAATCTGGACAGTGTTTAGGTGCTCTGCAAACTGAACTACGATATCCAACTGCTGACCACATTTTTTTCCACTTCAGTCGCCAAGGGTTCACCCGACTACCATGGGAATTCGTTTCGCGTTACTACCACTTGATCGTATTCACACTGGCTGCCTAGTCAGGACTTTTCATCCCAATGCAAATACAACTGAATTAGGAGGGGGAGCCAAACCACTGCTATCTCAATTGGTCAAAATGATAATTGATATGATGCTCCCCTCTTCAATCCAGTTAGATTTGGATGAGAAGTTCTGACTAGGCAGCCAGTGTGAGTACGATGAAGTGGTAGTAACGCGTCACGAATTCACATGGTAGTCGGGCAAACACCTGGTGATTGAAGTGAAATAAAAATGTAGTCAGCAGTCGGACCTCGTAGTTTAGTTGGTAGAGTAGCGGACCGGAAACTGCGGTTGCTGGTTCGAATCCGGCCATGGTCCTAATTTCCATTTCACCTTCAGTCATCATCCAGTATAAATATTTTCATGTTTCTTACGTCAGTTCCACCCCTATACTGTTTGCTTTGTCACAACCTACAAGACATCATTTAGTGACAAATATTGACATTTAATATGCAATGTTTTATACATGAGTACTTTAGCATACACTTTTGAGCTACGATACTTCCACTGGCGAAAAATCGAATGGATCGAACTTATTCTGCTTTTCCAAGTGGTTGATAGATGATTAGAATGGATGCATGTAAACCAAACGAAGTGTGACCTATCAGACTAGCTTTAATCTACTTACTTTCAGACTTCATCGAAATCTAACATTTTAGATATTGCAAAATTAATTTTCTCTTCTATATTTTGCAGAAGTGAAATCGATTCTAACTGTGATACAGAATTTACCTCTGAAGTTGTACCTACCACGAGTATAATTACTACAAGTATACCGAGTAAACCAGAAACAACACAATCGGCATCGTCACCACCATCATTTGATGAGTGTAAACCCATTAACAGAAAGATGAGTGAGTTAAAGATAAACGAAATTGATGGATAATAAAATTTATACAAAAATAGCAACAGCTACACAGAAGTCTCTTATTTATCAAAAATAGTTATGATCTATTGTATATCTATCTGTACATAAGTTATATATGACAGCTTTGTACACTGTTGTACAAATAATTTGAGAAAAATAATAAAAGCGACATCAACATTTAACAAAACGCTGGAGGAAAAAACTCACGAAGTTACTAATCATTTCAGAGCTCGAGAATCACGTTTATATTCCCTATACATATATATAGATGAAGAATATTAAATCACTTTTATTCTGAATTTCATCGCAAGCAATCTTGCCGATCACTGGTTTATCACATTTTGAACCCCTGCTTTTTGATCCGATGTATTTATTTTGCAGTGCATTTACATTTTTCAACGAGTAGTTGATTCACTTTTCATTTCTCTCCACTTATTTACATAATATATACAGATAACAGTTACAATGCATTTCATAGCGCTGACTGTGATTACACAGCAATTTTTATAAACTGATGACGATGTTCGATTTCAAATAAAATCATGTCTAATTGAACGGTTCTGCTTGACCACATAGAAGCCCGCAGTTACCGTGCCAAAATAAATTTGCTATAAATGTGCAAATGGAAATAACCCTGAGTAACTCCGGGTTTACGGAGACTGACGTAATTCCTTGTGGAGGGGGGGGGTAGTTGACTTGGAGACGCTGAAAAAATGCAATCTTCTGACGGATTTGGGTAGAAGTCTATGATTCACATGGACTTCGCATCTGTAAAATTTAAAATGGTGCTTTAAAACTGGTCTGTAGTTAATTAGTTTAAAGATACTGCGTGAAGTAGCGTGGGTTGACCACTTTATCCTTTTCAAAAACTGTTGAAAGTAGGTGCGAAGAGGTTATAGGTTTTTAAACCCAAGTGTTTTGATACCAATGCTCACGAGTAGTGAAATCGCTGTATGAGTAATAGTGAGGTTAGACGTAGGGGATACGGTAAGTCAATCGAAGAACTCATGAATCTACACCGTTTGAGGTGCTTTAGACATGTGCATGCCGAGCCACTACCTACCTTGACGTGTAATGCTAGCTAGAGTTGGATTAGATTATAATAAGGCTCAAAGTGGCTAGACCAAAACAGAGTATCAGTCCATGAAGTCTTTGGTCTCAGACGTCTAGAAAGGTACAGACTGCCTTGCTGGTCCCTGGAACATAGGAATCAATGGTTAGAGAACCTTAGTGATGTGACTGTAAGTAGGTCAAAATGGTGAAAGTGTATTCACTCTTTGATGCCTCCTAAAGCTTGGATGTTTCGCTTCTCTTGATGTTCAAATTCCTTTTCCTCCCATGCTCTTTTGTCTACTTTGATATAACTCATTTTTACCCATTTGTTCAGGAGAGTCTGTATTTTGTCAGCTTCTTCGCCTAACACGACAATTTCTGCATAGAAAAAGTTAAGAAGCTGCCCAGAAGGGATTACGTAGACCTGTGCAAAATCGGAGGTACCTAAGTTTATGTTTATTAGCGCATCTACAGCAAAGTTAAAGAGCAGTGGTGACAGCAATCACTGTTGGTGGATATAGCAGGTTGTGGTCATATCACATGACAACTTACCATGAGCTCTTACACGCCTGCGTGGGTTCGAATAGAGAGACTTGATTAGCATCACATACTTGATCGGAACTCCTTTCACAGTCAAACACTGCCACTATACCTCTTAGTTGACAGACTCCAATGCTGTCCTCAAGTCATAAAATACAGTAAGCGTCGGGTGCTGGTATTTCTGTGTTGCAGAACGTGTCGAAAGACGACAGTTTGGTTGATATTCCCTCGTCCTGGTCTGAAACCAACCTGGTTTTCTCAGGCTTATTCTTCATGAGCTTAAGTTATGATCTGAGGTACAGCGTTAGTTAAACTGATTCTGTGTTTGTCGCAAAAGAACTTCTCTCCTTTCGCATAAACTGGAATGATCAGTAATCTAAACCAGTTTGATGGGACAACCTTAGATTTTCATACAGTAGCTAGTACCTTTGTTACTCGACTCAATTATTTTCTTCCTCCATCCTTAAAAGCTTCCCATGGTGAATCATCATTATCATAAATACCTCGATATCTTTTTGATTAATATAGTTTATGCTCGATATGGCATCCAGTAAGTAATGCTTTACCACTGTATGTCATACCAAATAATCATATTTTACTGTATCCGCGTGAGCAAACATACATACATATGGTTTAATTTTTACATTATTGTTTTTCATTCTTTGATTTAACCGGTAGTATAATTTCCCACATATCCGAAATCAGTGTTGTCTTATTTCGAATACACTTCGTAAAAACGACATTCTCTCAGCAACCACGTGAATATTTGTAGGCATTGAACCAAACCTGGGTGCCTAAGCCTCTGTATGTGGAGCGGGGTCCAAACGCGTGATCTGCTGGTTGAAGGTCAACTACTTGAACCAGTGAGTCACTGATCGTGTTAGGCGTTGGGCTGATGAACAGAGATTCAGTGCTCTGACTTCTCCACTTAACTACATTAGTCTCCCGGCTTTCAAACCTACAAACTCGCTCAGAGAAGAACTTTGTCGCCTTAAGGATTATATTAACTCAATCAGACAATAATTTAATTTACCAAATACTTTGGGATGACCATGAGATTGAGTACGAATACCAAACTAGCCGAATTATGTCAGTCAGCTTGGCAGATTATAGGAATATAGCTAACTTTAGACTGATAAACTTAAATAAGGTGAGTAAATCTAGAGGATAATCCAGCCATAGTTATGCATATATTAACACAACCGTAGGGTGAGATAGAGCTACAGACATTCAGACTAACTTAGTTAAGTGGAAAGTCAGAGCACTGAATCTCTGTTCACCAATTCAACGCCTATCACGAGGGGTGACTCACTGGTCAAGGTAGTTGACCTTTAATTAACACATCATGCGTTCGAACCCCGCTTAGGCAGCCAGGTGTGGCTCAATGCCTACTGCATGAATATCCAAATGGTTGCTCAGAGAACGTCGTTTTTTACGAAGTGTGTTCGAAATAAGACAACACTGATTTCGGATATGTGGGAAATTATACTACCGGTTAAATCAAAGAATGAAAAACAACAATGTAAAAATTAAACCAGAAACTCGTGTAATTACTTTGTTATGATTGTGAGCAATAAATTCTGATGTAAACATTATCTAATAAATAATACTATATCATTTTGTGCTGTATTAAATAAACTAATCTAATATGGAATTATGTTCTGTCGCAGTGCCCAAATTCCATACTTACACTCATGACACTAGTTACTCTGCAGTAACTAATCGACGGAAGCCTACCTTGTTGAAAAACCTTAATTTACAAATCCAGTAGTCAATTAGGGGACTTAAATGTCTGCTTCATCCTAGGCTTGACAATAACAGGTTAAGGAAACTATATTTCTCTATAACCTTTTCTGGAATCATAATATTTAAAAGCCAATAATATGTGTAAGTATGCTCAATTTGCATTGAGACTAAGCTGACAGTTGGCTATTCAACTGATAATCTGAAAATCGCTGATTTTAATCTTGCTACGACTTAGGTCCTCATTAAACTACAACAATCAATCTCTTATACTTAAACATCAGTTCAACGACCAAAGCTATCTCAGCATCAGCATTGTGGTGCATAGTTTAACAGGGATTTGGATATGTATGCATAAACAGTTATGCTGAACTTTTAATATTAATTTTATTGAACAAAGATTGAAATTTTTTAGCTGGTCAGAAAAACAATGAGAAGAACGGTTACTTACAACAGCTCTGATAAAATTCTTAGCCCAGAGAAAATATTATCGCAACTTAATAAAGCTGAAGATATAACAGAGCGGTACGTGTCATTTGGCTTGATGCATATTTCTACTAACCGCAATGCATTGATATCCTAAATTTAAATAAGCACATAGCGAAGACTAAGATTATCTAACAGATGAAAAAACCCGCATTTATGTGCCAAAAATACCTTATCATTTCAAAAGTGAAAAAAGTATAAATTACATAAAGAGAGAAAGACACATGGTTTGTAGACAACCGTTTAGCTGAATACACGTTTATCCCATCATTCTGGAACAACTTGTAAAGATAAAATACGAAGGGCTTCTTCCGGAGTCAGTCTATAAACTCCTAACTCAATCAATGATCCGAGTGGATTGCTATCATTTTTCTGTTTAGCGCTCATTGATTCTATAAGAGTTTCCTTCAAAAGTTCGGCTGTTCCACGCAATAAATTTAATAGAATACACGCACCACAAGTTTGAAAGAAGAATGTCTCTGGACGTTCAGTGTATAGACTGAACATTGTATATAAATAGTTTTTAAGATCGAAACGTAGTTGAGCAGCTCCAAGAGGACTAAATCGGTTCGATAAAATGAGCTATATACAATAAAACGTTATGCAAATTAAAAATTTAGTTTAGAGGTTTGTTTGGTTAAAAAAATAGGGGGGAAGATATGAATTAATTACTGTTCAAAACAAATCACTATTCAAGAAAGTGCAATCGGATGCAGAAATAGCTAGGGAAGTTTAATATCAGAGCCATTAAGAGGACTCCGTTTACCCTTTTCCAGCCGACCAATTATTTTTGTGCACCTGGTTTTGCCGCTTTTACATGTATTTACAAGTTATATAAAGTGTTCTACTTGAGTAACCTGAGAGACATGTTGTTGAGCAAGCTTTGGAAAGGGACAGATAAATCCATAAGAAGCTGTCTCATCTTATCTGGTTGATAGTGGTCACTCAGTAGATAAAAGCAATGCTCTTAAGCTTATCCATCACATGTTACCCAACCTTTCAAATGATATTCGAACTCGTCTTTTATACAGCAAAAGTTATGGGAATTCGGGTTAGCGATCCTAGACTTAGTGTCCAGAAGAAGTTCGCACATTGCTTATCTTTCCACTGACCAGAGTAAACTTGATAAACAACTTTATGTTTGAAGATTTTCTGTCCTTTTGTTACTCCTCACTCCTTTTATATTCCTTACTATGTTTCTTCAGGTTTTGTTTATCCACATACTTTATCTCTTGTTATTGCGCAACTTTTGTTTGTTTTTTTTCATGCATATGATCCACTTTGATTACCAGTGTCTACATTCTCATGTTGTTTTCCTGGTTCTTATCATCATTATCATCTGCATTACGACTGCTATAGTTAACAGTCACGATAACTGTTAGCATTATTATTACCATTGTTATTACTACTGTACATTTTAAAACACATCACTGGCCAACAAGTCTACATAATTAGTTTGATTTTTATATATTTGGCTACTTATATTAGAGCAAGGTCTGAAGAGAATCTAATTGGAAAAAAATGTTATTCGTTTGTATATCTTGCGCTAATTTACGTGATAGGAACTTTTAAAATTATCAAAGTTTATGACTGTTGGCTTGAGTCATTTTGGAGGACTGTGAGCTCCTATCGGCGTTCCGTGAGTTATTAGGAGGCACTGCTCAAAATCCGATGTTGTTAAGGCACCAGATACAACCACTTTTTAATTTGAGTATAAATCTTGAGAAATATATTCTCTGATAGCCATTTATTTCCCCTTTAATTCGATGAAATATTCCTCTTATTTTGTTATTTCTCATACAGTTTTAATACGTAGCCACCTAATACAACTAAACAATCAGAAGAGGTTCATGTGCTAGGTTATTAGCAGTACCTACATAGCTAAGATTCATATTCAATTGTCCAAACATTGATGCATAGAGTGAGGTTCGAAATGATAAGTTAATGGTTGGACGTTGAACCCAAATGTCATAACTACACATTAACTTGTAAAAACCTACTACGTCCCATTCACGAAATCAGCAATACCGTATATCAGTACATATACATTCCGAAGAAGCTCCATATCAAAATTATATTTCAGAATTTCACGCTATATATTTTAAAACGAACCACTACGACAATGTAACAAAATTGACATACCTTATGATAAAGATAATCATCCAACTGATAGGCTATTTCCTTCCATACTTGAGAGAAAAGTTTCGGATGCAACGACTCCGATAAGTGATATAACCAATCACGTAGTGCAAGAAAAAACACTGATGCGTTCGTTGACATCGTTAAGTTAGAAATTTCACTTCTCATATTGCTTAAATACCTGAGACGGAACTAGCCCGAAGCCAGTGATCAGATGAAAGAACATACATGACAGATTTACTCTTTAAATCTGTTAGTACCAAGTCTACTGTTTCTTGTATCATTTTCTTTATTTCATCGTGGTATAATCGTAACATCTGTTGAATGAATGGAATTAGAGATTATATTGCGGGATAAATACTCACAAAACATCGGTTAACAAATCACTAATCACAGGTACATCATACATTAGGTGTTCGAAATTTAGGAAATAATTCCAGAAGTCATAGTTGGTTTCAGGCAGTTAGCAGGAAACTTGATAGTCACATTGTGAAGTGATCGAGAGAATTCGATCCGGACTCAGGACTAAACAACACGAAATTGGGTGCTCTCCAGGGACCATTCAATGGAGAAGAATAGCTGGAACATAACCTGATATGAATGCGGCAAATAAATTATGTCCAAAAAGTCATCTAGTAAATTATACTGTTTCACTGTGTGACACATTTAATACAAAAACTAAAAAGGAATTACAATCTAACATAGTCCCAAAGTTTTACTCCCATATTAGTGTAATACAACGCCCAGAGAATATACACTACATTAATCAGAAGAGTATATAAGTATGAGAACAAACCACATTACAAAGACATGACATAAAAATGTTTAGGATTTTTCACGAGCCTATAGTTGACAGTGTGAAAGACATGAATAGTTAACTATCAGTCAGATCAAAGTGTTTGTAACGCTAATAGGTTAACTCACCTCCTTCGCATAGGACTCACCAATGGTTTACATAGACTAACTCAATTGTGACAGTTAAAGTGAAACATTCACCTATTTCAAATGAATTACAAGATTACCAGTGTAGACAAGAAATTTTAGATAACTTCGTTGCGTACGGTGCTTCTTTAACAAACTAGCTGCTTAACAGTATACAGAAATATATTCAACATTATTTGAGAACAGACTTTTACTACGCTCCTAGAAAGCTGTCAGACAACCCCAATCTCTGAAATACTAAATGATGAGTAGTATTCATGTAGATGAAGATGACAGTCATGAACAAATTGTGACCTAAAATTAATACACACCTACGCCTGATTAGTTGAGATTTTCTGAAATTGTGGTGAATGAAAGCGAATGTAGTAAGACGAAAGACTGAAAAATACATGAACTCAAATACTTAATTCTAATCTAATGCTCTGGTTTATTTCTTTTAGGAATACTGATAATCCCTAGATGGTAAATGTTAGCTATTTTGTTTTAATTCCCTATATTGGTTTTAACCCGTATCCTTTTTACGCTTTCAGATTTATACTACTTACTAATAATGAGTAATGTGATCATGTTTTTCCCACGATGCTGCCTTATATATCCAACTTCAATTATTCAGCTCTGTTAAAACCGAATTTTAATCATTGTGAACATTCTTTCCTATCTCGCATTTTTCTCCATTAATCTGTTTCCGTGATGGTCTTTCTTCTCTTGATTAGTTGTTCACCTGACGTTTTTGACCTTACCATGTGAATCCGAACGTTTTTCACACTTTCAGCCGTAGTTTGATATGGGCGCAGGTCTGGTGATTATTTCGCCCAACAACCGTCTTTTAAGTGCATTCTAAAATGATAAACCCATTGATACCTTACAGTTCAAGGTTTTTAACTTGCCAGTCATTATTGCTATTTATTAATACAGCAGGGTACGTTAGACGGTTGGTGATCGGCAGGAAGCTTTGGACCTACGTTTCAATCTTGTTGGCACTCGTCAGCAAGGAACATTTGCAGCCTAGAAAAACTTGACGTCCCCTCTGAGACACAAGTCCGTGCCATGCAGTGCTGTAGTCAGAGACGTTAATTGGGCCACCACTGACCTCGAGTAGGACTAAAATAGATATATTAAAAGACCACTGGAGAGCAGACAATTTCATGTAGTCTAGACTCTAGTGCAAATCAGATTTCACCGATCATATAATTAGTTACTCTCCAACAACTAATTAATTTACAGTATCGTATACCAGAAAAACCATGGGTTTGGCGGTCGAATTGGTGGTATACGATAGATTACGTCAAAAGCATTATTTTCAGATTTCACTGTAAAGTTCACCCGGACAGGTTCCAAAATAATTGATCATGCAAATCGAAAAACTGGCATTTCGGCTTTATCCAAAATTAAGACGAAAATACCTTCAGATGGTCCAGATCTAGGAAAGAAAAGCTGGGGTTAAAAGAGTGAAACAATTGGTGGTATTCTGACACATCACTGAATACATTGCGATTGATGCCGGTTACTCACAAAATATTCATGAGGAAAGGTGTGGGAAATTCCAGAGAAACTCGATACCACATGCAACGAAGTGAATTTACAAGGCGAAAGAAAAGAAGACAAGATACTGCCTTAAGGATCAAGCTACCCCACCTCATATCAGCACACCAAGCAAGAACACATCAAAATAAAAGAGAAGGGAATAGATAAAGGGCAGTTTAAAGTGACAAAGAAATGTAAATGAACGAAGCGGAATGAAAGGATGCTGAGAATCTGCATGACGACTAAAATGAACATAATGTTTAGGTACATCGGCGACACTGACATCGATTCGGAGGCGTCTCACCTAAACTTTACAACCACTGGCTTATATAATCACATGGCCCCCAACCAGGAAGTTTGCATTTCACGACAAGACTCAGACAACCGTCAAAGACTTCATGGACTGATGACATGCCTGGGCACTTCTAGCCCTTTTCCAATCTAAACTCGCTTCAGCTAACATTGTTAGAAGAGGCAGAAAGTGTTTAACCATTCGTAACACATCTCAGCCACCTCAGCTGACCATGATTCACAACCTCTTCCCTCCGGAACTTAACACCTGACTTCTAATTTACTGCCGTGTGGGTACTACGAAACACGGTCCACGCTACGAAGGCAGCAGTGGTCAAACACTTTAGGCTTTCTAATGTCCCCTACCTTTAATGGCCATGTTTCACAGCCGTACAGTAGAACAAAGCGAACTACAGAGCAGAAGACTGAACTCTTAATAGACAATCGGATATCATGGCGGTGCCATAAATGGCAGAAGTCGGGGAAAGCCAATTGAATCTTTGGTAACCATCCAGAGGTTTCGTCAGCCACCGACCCGCCTGAGCTAATCCGACTTTCTAAGTAAGTGAAGTGGTCAAGGCACCCGAACGCTTCACCCCATATTGTTAAACATGATACCAGCGAAAGTCATTCCTGTAGCGAGAATTTGCATTGTGGTAGTGAGAAACACATCTCGAACATTCTTAGATTCCCACTCGAGGTGTTCAGAAGACTCTGCATCTTGTCAGCGTCTTCACCTAACAATACAATATTATCTGCGTACTCTAGGTACATTAAAGATAATCCCTATGACAACATCAATCCTTAGAAAATCAGATGATCAGAGGGAGATAAAGTCAAATAAAAATATAATGAGTAACCATTCCTGATCCACACCACTCACCATAAGAAACAAACAAACTCAGCGTAAAACCTCTAATAGAAGTGCACCGGTTCAAGTTACCACAGTTCACAGCAGCACGCAAGAAACGAGTGGGTAGAAAAAAAGTGACATCGACGCAGAAAAAAGTGTATGGGAAGAGAAGGAGTTTGAAATTGAAGGCTAGTGAAAATATTCCAGCTTTAGGAGACGTCCAAGAGTGAATATATCTGAGCTATTGTGACCGACTTGTAGTCATGTCACCAAGGTTCGCCAACCATTGATTCTTATGGTATCAGGAAGCTCACCAAATGGTCTACATCTCCCTACACAGACGAAAATTCAGAAACTTCATTAATTACTGCCATGTCTGAGTATGACCACCCTGCGCCTTAAGTCTTGAGTGGTGCTGGTTTTCATCTATTTGGCGACATGAGTTAAATGAAGATTGTACAGACTAAGCTGACGAATGTCTATACGTTCACAGATTCCCGTCAATTGACTAGTTATTATTTGGCAAACAACTGTGTAGCATTGACCAGGAAACATAGGGTCGCTACATGGTGTAAGTAACCTAAGAAACTTAAAACAAGACTGAACAATATATCAATAAACACATAAAATGCATGATATTTTTCCAAACATTTATCTGCCTTTACTTACCTGACTGAAAACACCACCATGTAAACCAAGGTGGCTATCAGAAGAGCACAACTCATTGAAAGCTTTATTTTGAGATTCATATTCTTGTAACTGTAAAATAGTGATATACAACGATTATAAGATATGACACCGTGAATAATTAGTAACTAACATACTTTACTCTTATTATTTCGAGAAAAAAGGGCTTCATGAATACCACACAGACTGTTATAGTTGTCACACTGTGAAAATTGACTAACTGATACTAACTAGCTCCAGTTGTATGTGACCTTCAACTTATCCAGCTGGGATTCAGTAGTTCGTGCATTTTATCCCACAAGTTAGGTGGTGTTCTAATCTAGTCGACTTGATTTCGCTCATTTAGTCGAATGATATCATTAGCTCTCACAAAGACTTCATAAGCAGTCTATAGACATCGAAAAACATTAAATCGTGCACTCACTATTGTTTACAAATCTGTTTGTACTTATCAACGTATTCAGCATACTTGCATGAAATAGCAGTTCGACAGAAACAAGGATCATAGCATCTTGCTTAGCGTTAAATAAATTCTGGAGTTCAAGGTAGCCAATATGACGTAACATTAATAGCTCTATACCTCAGTTTATTGTGCTTAAAACTAGTAAGCGAAAAAATTCATTAACCATATATGGGTTCATACACTGATATGTAAACCATACCTGCGGTAAGAGTGATAAGTACTGCTCGGTTTCTTCAACTGTGTTAGATACATGGAAGTGCCAGTTTATAAGCTTATTCGTTCTCAGTTTTGAAAATCTTACTGAAAGCTTATAGTTCTGTCATCTGCAGTCAAGTGAGGGATTTGGTTACATATGATAGCTTGATAAATAAACTCCGCTTAGGAATGATATCTGATAGAAAGAAGCCGTTACTATGTGAAAACTGAGTGGTACACGTAATTCATTCATGTAAAACTTTTTCACAGCTAGAATAACTCAATAATACCACCATTAAATATGACACTGTGCAACATAAATCTAAACCTCCAGAAAAATATCGTTGAACTTGAGAAGACCCTAGTCGAAGCACACTAAGAAACTGGGTTCAATATTTCTCCTCCATATACCTTTGATTAACATAATATGGATGCTTATTACAGAACGTGTAATGCAAGAACAAACACGGTAACTTACTTCGCTTGACATTATATCTCTGGTTGAAGCACTTAGACCAATATCTACTAGCCAAGGGTCGCCAAATTGCAGCAGTCCACGAGTAGTTAAATCTTCCCAAAACGTTACATAATACTATAAAAATTCAAAGGTGATCAGGAGTATGTAGTGCGTTTCAACTTCAAGAATGTTGTGATGAGATGAAAAATAATGCAAGAGAAAAAACTAGGAAATAAAAGGCCTGTGAGCTATGATTTTATTTCGCATAGTAATCACTCTTTGAATTCAGAAACAATTTCTCGAGAAAAATATGCAGCATAAGAAAGATGATAAAACTTTAACAAGAATAAAGTGTAGTGGTTATTGAGAGTATGCCAGTACACTTGTACTTAGATATTAACTACACTTTGATTGTTAGGGTTTATAAACTCTAAAAACACAACACAAAAAGCCTAAATAAACATTAGAATGGTGAGAACCCTTAGTTGTCAGACTATGATCGTGACTCGTAATGTACTTACACACTTTCAACATGCTGATTGTCTACAACTGAGATAAATCTGAAATTACATAGTTAAAATACGCGCATCTTTGTGTTGATAACGTTTTGCTAAGTAGCAAAACAGATGAGCTTCTACTCCATTGCATACATATCTCATGACATAGCTAAAATAGTGTAGTCAAGTGTCGTCAACAACACCAATTTAAAAAAACCTCAGGATTCGGCAATAAGGACCCAACCAGCAATAGTTGAAGCAATGAACAATCGACTTGCTAAACTACTAGTAAACAAGTATAGTAAGAAAGTTTTTAATTTGGCTTCTTTTATTTATGAATTCCCGATTGCGACAGTCGCCATTATAAAGACGAAAATCGTCAAACCGAAAACAGATAGCAAACAACTGGAAGCCTAGAGAATATTTGTAGCTCAGAAGGATAATTTTGATGGTGTTGTATTCCCTTAGCTGGAGTGTTTAATTATGGAGCTTTCGTTGTCATTCTAGACATCATCAGTACAAACTTCAGAAAGAGGTGAGCTATAAGGTTTTCTCCAACATTTATTTAGAAGCTTGTCCTGAAGGCCTTCTGTGTAATTGATTGTTTCTGCCAAGATCTTGTCGTTTTCTCCACGTTGGAATCACTGTATCTCACAAGCCCACAAAATGTCTTCAATTTCTGCTATGCAGGCCAAAAGATACAATAGCAAAGGAAGACAAATCGAAAGTTATCTACAAAATAAACTGCAGAAACTGAGAAAAACACTACATCGGATACAGTGGTCACCCTCTTCACATCTGTGTACATGAACATCAACTAGCAATGAAGCGTCATGACATATCTTCGCTCATATCAATGCATACAGACAACTGTGGACACGGATTGCACTGGGAAAATGTGAAAATGCTGGATAGAGGGAATCCAAAGAATGCCAGGGAATTTTTAGAAGCTTGATATTCAGGTCAGTCAGTAATCAACAGACATATTGACATTGATCCGATCTAACAACCAATAAGAAACAATAAGAAGGTCAAATTTCAGGCCTTTAGGATAACTGATCAAAATAAATATGGAGACAATGAAAGGACTTTGAGAGAAATAATCAATTACAAAAAAAGCCGTCAGGACAAGCTACTAAATGGCGGAGAAAAACCTATCGCTCACTCTTTCCTGAAGTTTGTGCTGATGATGTTGTCTAAAATGACAACGAAAGCTCCACAATTAAACACTCCAGCTAAGAGAACACAACACCATCAGAAGATGGGAAGCCTAGTTTGTTTTCGAGATCTACAATAGGAATTTCCTAAATACAACTTACAAAATCTGTTTACAAAAACCAGAATATTTAGTCATCTTCAACTAACTTGATCATTTGCCCACTCTAACATGACATCATGAAAACATTTCATTGCATTCAGTGCCAATATCCAACGCGAAGATCGATTCTGTCCAATACCATCAATAAAACAATTGAAGAGTTGGTTAATGATCGAGACTTTCTTCACTTTCGACTGAGGGTTAGAAGAACGACTACTAGGTGAAAATAAACTCCCAAACATTGAACTGCTTTTCTCAGTTTTATTCTTTGCTGAGTAGCAGTGATCATTTGAATCTTCATCTTCAGGTTTATAACGCGCTGACAATACGATACGATCAAAAAATTCACGAATTAAATTCAACTGAACTTGTACAAATCTCGCTCGTGATATTTTATCTGACAGCTGCTGACCTCTCGAGCTGACAGCATAGAGCAGTGCCATAAAATCATCAACACACTGAGGCCTAGAATGAAACAGAAGTTTAATAAAATCCTTATCAGTTTCTATACAAAACATAAATGAATCCAGGCAGAGACGAAAGCAGTATAAGTAACATGTCCACCTGAATATAAAGTGGTCAGTCAACATGGATGGATTGATAACCAGTAAGTCAATCAGTATCAGTTTCGTATCTGGTGCCACTTACTCACTAACGGTGCCGTGTGACATACAGTCCAACAGTATATCAAGGTAAAAGGTACAAAGGTTAAGGACAGATATCGAAAGGAAAAGATCCAAAGAGAAAGGAAAACTACAAATGATA